CCCCGCCCCCTCGACCTACTCGGGTGGCGGAGCGGAGGAGGGGGGACAGACAACAACTCGTCCGAGCCCGGCAAGTGTTCCAGAAACGAAGACTGCGCGGGGCTCAACAGGGTGCCCCCGGTCGAGACACGAAACCTTCGTCGACGACGTTACCCTTCGCCGCCGAGTTCTGCTGCACTCTCAGCGACGCACACCCTCTTACAGGTCCTCGGACGTGGCTAAACCAGGGTGGTGTGCGTGAATTTGTTCTGTCCTCCCCACCAGCGTTGAGGCCGCGCGACCCGGTACCAGAGGTTTGGGTGGCCTTCCCCCTGTGACGTCACTGATGCTGATGCGTGTTGCAGCGCGCCCCTCTGCCCTACACCCCGCCGCGCCACGCCCGCCGCCGGTACTGCAGCTTCCACCCAAACACCATCGTTGGCGTAGCTGCGCTTCAGTGCACTCCTCTCCAACTGTCTTTGCCCGACGTGCGATAACCACCGTAAGTCGCAGGCAGCAGGCGGTGCCACCTCTCACCATGCCGCGGTAAGGTGCAATAGAGATTACTACATTACACCTTACGCCGCGGAGGTGCTCTCTGCCCCAACTACTCCATCCGCCTGCGGGTGCACCCGAAGAGCTCGCCGAAGCCAAACGCACCTGCGCCTCAGAGCAGGGAGATAGATACCAAGGTCATCGACCCATCCCCCATCCCGGTACTCCATACGCTTGCCCTGCTGAGGGATGATCCACGGGGCCTCTGCTCCACGTGGCTCGTTCGAGTTGGGCAAGTGTACGGGAACCCGCCCCGCTGCCTCCCGAGGACGCTGGCGCTGTATCAACCAGGGCCCCCGCACCCTGAGCCCCCCTGAGGAATGAACACGGGGGCCAACCCCCTCCGTGATTGTTCAGGGCTGCGAAGGGTTCGGGAACCCACTTAGCTGACATCTTTGGGGACACTGGGTTTGCAACTGGAAACCGGGATCAGCATGTATGCTCGGCATCGTGCCCCGGTGGAAGGGCCTGGTAAATAGAACGACTCCGGTCGGATCTAATCCTTTGGGCCAAAAGTGGCCTCTCGGGTCTTCAAGTCAAGTCGTTGTGTGCCCATAGCCGGCATCAGCCAAGCAACGCCTTTTTAGGCCACATTGGACAATGTGGGCCTGGCGGCTGACGGATTCGTTTTCGAACTGTAATTTTAATGTTGCGGACGTCACTCACCCTTTTCTCCAGGACTTTCCACGGCCACTGCTGCAGCTTCGCGACGCTCCGCGACCGTCGGCCTGAGCATGGAGTGCGGCATCTGCATGGAGGTCTTCGACGGCGTGAAGCGGGCGCCCAAGTTCCTGCCGTGCGGGCACACGGCCTGCCTGCAGTGCCTGCGGCGGCTGCCCGACAACAGCTGCCCGACGTGCCGCCGGGTGAGTGTCCTGAGGGTGTCCTCCGCGGCCTGCTGCCCTCACTGCCCTTGCTGCCCTCCACTTACTCGTTTTGCCCTTCACTTCCTGCAGCACTTCACCGGGCCGCCGGAGGGACTCCCCACCAACTTCTTGGCGCTGCAGGAGCAGAAGGAGGCCAGACTTGACAGGTGAGCTCGCTCGCGCGCGGGCCCGACGCGGCGGTGGAGTGTTCGTCAGCCTCATAGCTTGACTTGTGCCCCACAGCACTCCCCGCTGCTGGTGCTCGGACTGCCGCACCGACCCGTCGCCCCGCTGCTGGGATGAGGACCACGACGTCCTGCCCGTCAAGAGAGCCCTAAAGCGTCAGCTGCAGGACGCGCTGCCGCAGGCCGCCGAGCAGCTCCAGGGCCTCCAGGACCAGTGTCGGGAGGAGCAGGCCCTGCCCGCCCTCACCCTGCTGACCGGCGAGTCCTGGGACGTGACGCTGCGGGGCGGCGGCCGCGAGCTGACGGGGACCCTGCGGACCTCCGAGGAGCCCCTCAGCAAGGCCCTGTGCCTCCTGCTGGCGAAGAGGGCCTCGCTTACCAAGGTAGGCGACCTGCGACGTTTTACTTTGTAGATTATCTCCGCGATCGCCCTTGCACCACCGAATGGGCTCTGCTTGTCCTGCTGGAACAACTAGGTGCGCCTATCCAGCGAAACATTTACTTAGAGAGACTGTCCGTTAGAGAGAATGTCCGTTAAGTTGTAAGATATTAATCCTGTCCTTAGTTATGTTACGTTACTTTTGTCGCAAGTGTGATCAGATACAACTGTCAATATTTTTATGAGTGTTAAATTTTTTAACATTCCGTTTGTCGGCAACGTGATACCGATTTCAGAGGAAAAAAAATAAGAGTCTGGCAATCCATGCATGCATGCGTTCTGATACTATACACTGCCCGCATGCAATGCACTGTTATCTGCTGTTAGCCTCAATGTACTACATCCAATGTGGTTCTGCAGGACCGAGCTGCTGCGCGGGACCCACCAACTACAGCTGCACCCACACCAGCTGCAGCTGCAGCTGCACCCACACCACCTGCAGCTGCACCCACAACAGCTGCAGCTGCACCTACACCCCCTGCATCTGTACCCACACCAGTTGCAGCTACACCTACACCCCCTGCAGCTGCACCCACACCAGCTGCAGCTGCATCCACACCAGCTGCAGCTGTGCCCTCACCTCCTGCAGCAGCACCCACACCAGCTGCAGCCCCCCACGCCGCCCGGGACCCACCACCTGCCGAGGCGCTGCCCCCGCGGGACATGAATGTCTACAGTATCACCTACAGTGGGCCCGACGACAAGCAGCAGGAGAAGGCCGCCGTGCTGCTGGACGCGCCGGGGGTGAGTGTGCGCCGGACCTCGAACCTAACGGCCCGCACGAGGCTGCGGGGGGTGGCCCGGTACACTGCAGACAGTGCCGCACGTTATCGGCCGCCCTGAGAGTGACTCTGTTCTATTCTGCCGCAGGTGACCCGGCTGATCAGGGTGCACTGCCACAGGGACCCCGCCTGGAGCCTCCAGCTGCTGCAGCGCGCCGCACCCACAGTGGAGCGGCTGGATGTGCGCCACCCCCGCGAGGCCCACCTGCGCGCGGTGCACGCCATGCCGCGGCTGAGGAGGCTGCACGTGCACGTGTCGTGTAATGATGGCGCCCTATGGGCCAGGCCCCCCGAGCTGCCCGCGCTGCCGCCGGGACACGCCGGCCTGCAGTGGCTCAAAGTGGAGCGACTCCCCCGCGCGACGACACAGTCCCTGCTGCATGCACACGGCGGCACGCTGGAGGAGCTGGAGCTGCGGGTGGGCACGGCGGGGAGTAGAGAGTGGCCATACAGTTGCGGCGACCTGCACTCGCTGCTGCAGCAGAGCGGGCTGCGGGCGCTCAGGAGGCTCATGCTGGTGAGGGAAGGGGACTGCATCCGCGAGCCAGCCGCCTGCAGAGAGCAGCGCGCCGAGGTGCGGCGGGTGCTGCCCGGGGCCGAGGTGCGGTGTGACACGTGTGACGTGTCACGGTGTAGAAATAGAAGAGGCCTAGGGGCGGCGAGCCTACATACCCTCATTTCCATTATTGGTATCATTTTCATTATTTTGTGTATGTGAAATTACTTTGGATTGCAATAAAAGCTTTGGTTATCGTAAAATTGAGCTAAAGCAAGGCCCATTCGGCTCATTACTTCCGTTTCTCTCTGCCCTCTGCCTGCACATCTCTGTCTGCACGATGTCTCAAGAAAGGAATGAGGCGGCGACAATAAACTTGCAGGGGTGCTCTTAGTAGTATCAGAAGGCAAACTGGTCTTAATCAAAGCGGAACACTGTAGCTCAGAAACAGGCCTATCCCGACATAGGCGACAATGGCCAAGAACGCTCAGGGTATCGGGCGGGACGCTGGCTTTAAATAGTGTATTTCGACTAGCGGAGGAATAAGAATAGCGGGGCAAACATAAAGGTTCCTGATTGGCCGAGCTCTTACCCCCGGACTACCCGCGTGACGTAGAGGCGGTAAGCTCTCGACCAATCGGTAACGTTTATGTTCTACCCGCTCTTCTTCTTCTTCCGTTAGTCGAAATACGCTAGAAAGAGAGGAATGTGAAGCAGAGTAAGCGTGCCGCCTGCCTGCGGAGAGCAGCGCGCCGAGGTGCAGTGCGGCGCGTGTGACCATGCGGAGCGGGAATCAGTTAAGGGCGGCGGCGAGACTTCATACCGAGCTTCATACCCTTATTTCCATTCTAGATATTTGTACCGTTTCTGTCTGCCCTCTGCCGTCACGTCTCTGTCTACACTATGTCTCAAGAACGGATTGAGGCAACGACAATAAACTTGCAGGTGCTTTTAGTAGTATCAAAAGTAGTCCTAGGCTTTATCTGCCACTCGCTGGTCGCGGGCGCGTGACGCGCGGGGTAGGACTTGGCGAACGCCCGGGTCTATATCAATGTTCGTCGGTGGCCCAAACGCAGCAGTTGATAGCTGAGCAGTGATTTCGCCATGGTGTCCGCGACGTCAGCCGCCCTGGCCCTGGTGGCCGCCTTGGCCCTCCTCGCCCCTGGCCGGGCGCGCAACTTTGACACCCCCGCCGGCGACAACGTCCCCGAGATGGTCACCGAAACCGACCCCAAGTACCAGATCCCCAAGGGCTTCCTCTTGGGCGCGGGCACGGGCGCGTACCAGTCAGAGGGGGCCTGGGACAAGGATGGTGAGTGACCGGACGAAGGCGCGACCCCCCCCCCCCCCCTGCAGGTGCGAGTAAGAGGGGAGGGGGGGGGGGTGAAACTGTAAGTAGGTCAAAGGTGGGAAACGGACCCTGGTCTGGGACGGGTCCGGTCCCGGAACCGGAGGGCCGTTTTCCACCTCTGAACTAGGTAGGACATATGCGGCCCTAACACTGAGTTCGCGAAACATAGTAAATTTCATTCAGATTTATGACGTTTTCATACTTGATTGTAGTTGTTGACCTAGTTAGGGATCATCCGGAAGGTATATCCGTTATTCGCCGTTATAAAATTGCCAAGTTCAACCTGTGCAACACTGAAAATGCTAGAGTCAGATATCTTATTCTCAGGAGAACGAGATGAGTGACACAAAAAAATCTCACTCCCCTGAGAGCGAGATTTCTGACCCTCGCTCAATTTGAGTCAGAATTTGCGATCCTCCTCACCCAATGAGAGTGAGGTTTCCCAGTGCAATTGGGCGACGTCAGGGAAATCTTACTCCTTCAGAGTGAGAATGAGGTATTTTATTGGAATAAAGAATATCAGGAAGAACATGCCAGAACATCACATTGAGAAATTTCTCACTGGGCCTTGCGGTGACAATAATCTGATAGGTAGGTAAATAGTCTGACGTGAGCCTTTCCCAGCTGTACACAAATCCTAGGCATGGGTGCCTTCCACACAGCCCGTTACAAGCGGTGTCATTTTAAGATGAACTGTTTTAACGTAAGCCGAGACGTAAGCCCATTTACTTCGCGAATTGGCTTGGGATTTTCTCTGTCCTCGAAGTAAGAAGCGCAGCAACCATCTCCTCCACCTCGCTCTTTCACAGGGAAGGGTGTGAGCGTGTTCGACTACCAGTACCACAAGGAGAATTACCCCACCAACATGACGGGCGACATCGCCTGCAACTCGTACGAACGCTACGAAGAGGACATCAAACTCGCTGCCCAGATGAACGTGAGTGGGGATTCTGAGATCGCCATAACGTCGTTGCGATATAGTGTCGCCAGAAGCTGACGACCTCGATATTTATGGTTTCAGCTCAACGTCTACCGCTTTTCCATTTCTTGGACAAGGATTTTTCCCAATGGCAACATAGCTGAAAAAAACAACAAGGGTGTTCAACACTACCACGACGTGATCAAGACAATTAAAGCAAACAACATGAAACCAATGGTAAGTGCCCGCGATGTCGCCCGAGGTTCTTTTCTTTCTTTCTGCAGAAACTTTAAGTGAACCGGTTTTCCAGGTCACCATCTACCACTTCGACCACCCGCAAGCTCTCGAGACCAAGTTCGGGGGCTGGCTGAGCGAGCAGATGATAGACGCCTACGCGGACTTCGCGGACTTTCTTTTCTCGGAATACGGCAGCGAGGTATAAACAACACAACAAGAGTACATTAACATGAAATGCTGTCGAGGTACAATAACCAATCACCTCCCTGCTTTGTGCAGGTCGAGCACTGGGTGACCCTCAACGAGCCCAACATGCACTGCATGATGGTGTACTTTGGTCTGCTGCCGCCGGGCACCCCGGATATGAACGACTCCGCGGCCGACATGTACACGTGCATCCACCACGAGATCCTGGCGCACGCGACGGCCTACCGCCTGTACGAGCAGAAGTACAAGAAGGAGCAGGGCGGCCTCCTGGGCTTCGGCTCCGTCTCCTTCTTCACCAAGCCGAACAGCACCGAGTGGGACGACATCCTCGCCTCGGACCGCGCCAACATGTTCGACGTCGGCCTGCTGGTGCACCCGCTCATCTACGGCGACTACCCGGCCGTGGTCAAGCACACCCTCAAGCTCGCTCACGGAGACAACCCCTACCTGCCCGAGTTTACCGAGGCGCAGAAGAAGACCCTGCTGCCAGGTAAGGGCGATACAGAGGGCGTCGGTCGGTCCACGCCGACGTCCACCATCGCGTAGTACTTGGTGCAACGCGAATCGAAGCAAATTCGGTTGTCGACGTTGAAAAACTGTCGATCGTTTCGCGTCCGTACTGACCTTGTGCCTCCCCTGCCCTACTCAGGCGCCATCGACTTCGTGGCTCTCAACGCCTACTTCGGCGTGAAAGTCGCAGAACGCAGGAAGGATAACGGGGAAGGAGACGCGCCCCGGATAGGAATGGTGGGCTTCCGAGCCGACGCCAACGTCTCCAGCGTGTACGAGGGCATGGGCGCCGACAATAACGTCTTTGGCGTGGTGAGCACCCCCTTCCCATTACCCAGCCTAGTCCCGTCCCTCGCGAGCGCGACCCTCTCACAAACGGTTATCCTGCGCAGATCACCGCGTGGATCCTGCGAGAGGCGTCCCTGTGGATCAGAGCCAACTTCGGCCAGGAGCTGGGCATCTTCATCACCGAGAACGGCATGGGCCTGATGGACAGCTCGACGGACGACTGGGAGACGCGAGCCGTGTACCACAGCGTGAGTACTACTCTGCGAAGAGTGTGGCGTCATTAGTCGGCGCGCCATGTCGAATCGACGCGTGCTCACCGAGTGCCACGCTCCCTCACAGGCCTACCTGCGCGAGCTGATGCGGACCGTCAACGAGGACGGCGTCAACGTGCTGGGCTACAGCGTGTGGTCCTTGCTAGACGACTTCGAGTGGAGCGCCGCCTACACGTGAGTGAACAACGTGCTCGACGGCCTGCCGTCTTGGGCAGATTTGGTATCAATACGATATCACACCAAAATCACGTTACTTAACAGAGTGATTCATCTCCACTTCATTTCGTCTGGCGCAATCGGGCCTTCCACTCAAATGCCTCATGTCTCCGCAGGCGCGAGTTCGGCTTGGTGCACGTTGACTTCGAGAACGGCACACTCGCCAGGACCCTCAAGAGGTCGCACCACTTCTTCAAGCGCATGATGGCGGACCGGTCCGTGCCCCTGGTGCTGGCGTCCTCGACGGCCAGCGCGGCCGCCGCCATCGCGCCCGCCGTGTGCGTCGTTCTCTACTCATCTGCTCTCTCGCTGCTCCGCACCCTCTGATTTAAAGACAAACATAACAACAATCTGTGATACTAGCAATGTAATTTTTTTCTCGGCTTTTCCCTCTTATAGAACAAAAGAGTTTTAATGTATGTAATAAAAAACACAATAAAGTTGTGACGTGTATTTTTATTGCGGAGGTCCGATATTCGTTTCCATTTCTCCAGACCGGATAGTTGTGGATAGTATTTTCCCAACTAAAATTAGTGTGCTAGGCAAGAGGCAGAGGACCGCCCGCCTGGTAGGTAGGCAATAACGGCCGGGGTGTATTGCGGGTTGGCCTACCCTGCGACTGACAGGGGCCCATGCCAGACTGTTTTCATGACTTTTATACGAAGGGAACCATTCCGGGGGCAATATGAAGTACGTCATTTACTAGATATTTTTTTCAATTACAATTCCAAGGGTACAATACAAGGGTATTGCCAACGACCCTGGGACCCGGGCATGCAACGCACTGACGTCAACACTACGGGAGGAGACAATGGGCACAACTGCGGCCAAACACGATTTGATTGGACGCCATGTTTTGAGAATGCTTCTCACACATTAGGGTATCGTCTCTACGGAATCCGAAATCAGTTGTGCTTTGCGCTCTACGTAGAATTTCGTTCAAAAAATGATGTAACGTTACTGTTGTTTTTTTTTGAAACGAAATTCATATTAGACCTTAAGGAGCGATGCGACCACATTTGGTCATTTGGTAACGAAATTTAACCACCATTTGAGCTTTCGAATAACCCCCGTGAGTATTAATTTTTCCCTAGGTTCCAGAGATAATGCCAAAAATGTTAAATAACGAAAAGATTCGTTGTGATGCCCTGGTCTTTCTGTTATTGATGCAGTCCGAGTTTGCTATATCTAAAGTGGAAGTTTATTAATGCAATAAACACATTTTCACAAATTTTGCGAAAATTCGGGTGCCTCTATGACTATGAGTGACCCATCAGTACCCATCATTCAAGAGTACCCCCGTATATGGCCACTCAAACATGTGCATAATTTGTAAAAATGTATTTATTGCATCAGTAAACTTCGAAAGTGCATTTAGAAAAACTCGAGCTGCATCAAAAAAAGGCAAAATCTGAAATGATGGGTGATGTGTTTCAGGCTCGGTTCCGGGTTTAATTGGAGGGCCACCTTCAGACAGTTTCAGACCCGTTTGCCGTGAACCATGCCCGCCGTCCGTCACCCCACCACACGGCGCGCGCGCAGTGTCAGCGCGTTGTGTCTTCGGGCACCAGAGGGAATTGCCAATTCCCTTTGGGGTTTCGTAGCTGAAAGTAGAATCTTGTTAATGGTATATTTTGTTTTGACCCGGGGCGCAGTAGATTCTTTCAAGGAAAATCCCCGAGACTGCCCTGTTTTTGGCCCGTTACACTA